TTCGCCCAAAGCATTGACAGAATTGGACTTGGCCAACCGGACACTTTATTCCCAGCTCTATATTGGTAAAGTGGCAGAAAACCTGGAAGCAGCCCGTCGAAAACACCCGGTTAGTGTGTGAAATAGATTACCGTACTTTTCGGACTATAAGCCGCGCCTTTTTCCCCATTTTTCGACGCTGCGGCTTATATAACGGTGCGGCTAATCTATGGATTTTTACAGCTAACGGCCACCACCTTTAACTCTATGGGCTCTATGGCCGGTCCGCGACCCCCACCTTTAAGCGGCGGGCTCCAGCAGGAAAAGCTGGAGGCCGGAAAAGAGTGAGACAGGTAGCGCGCAAATTAAAAGTGGAACCGAGAGTGGTCCGAGAGACAGAACGAGAGCAAGACAGTTTCAGACATTACGAGAGCGAGACAGTTTGTCCCCGTACCACTGGTTGAAAACCCTGCTGTAGATCACTGCCGGTACGTGCGCTGGGAGCGCACCGTTTAAGTTTGAAAGTTGAAAAGTTTGTGTGTCTGAAACGCTATGTGATACAGTACCGTTTACACAGCACAGTACATATTCTGTAGCTACTATTGCACTAAATGCTAACACTTGAATACGTTATGCAAATATGCAACTTGTTTGTTCAAATGTTAATAAATGGGAGCTTCCTCAAACAGCCATCTCTTTCCCGACAATCCCCTGTGTGCACGAACCCTTACATATGGTAATTAAACATTAAAACACCTGCGGCTTATAGTCCAGTGCGGTTTATATATGTACATCATTCAATTTAGCTGCTGCGGCTTATATTCAGGTGCGCCTTATAGTCCGAAAATTACGGTACTGACCATTTTTTTTTTTCATGAAGGTCTATGACAGCAGTTTAATATGAAATTCATGTTTTTATATTTAACATAAAAAAGGGCTTTAAGTAGCATACTGATCAACAACTGATTTTCTTTTCCATAGGCACTTTTTAAACCTTTTCAAACAAATCAAAAGTTAAAAATAGTAATTGCCTCAAAAATACTGTCCAAAATGGCAAGTATGAACTATTGATCTTGCTGGAAATCACACATGTTTGACCATCACGTGTAGGTGTTCATTTTGACGCCTGGCAGAACTCACTGGTTGGGCTGCAGATCCTCGATGGCGATCAGCACGCCCTTCTCGTGGAGGCGGGAGGCGGTGTATTTCTGTGAGACCTGTTTACTCTTCTTGGCCTTGTTGTTGCCTGGTTTCGCCCTGATAAGAAGACAGAGAAAGACAAGTGTACAGCTTGATACCATCTCTCAGCACTTAGTGTGAATGATTCTTCGAGTATTGTTCAACGTGTTTGGAAATGGGGTTTTTCAGAATGACACTAATGAAAAATGAACCAACCATGTATTCTGGCCTTCATCCGGTGTTTACTTTGCAGAGTATACACAGAATAATTCCACTTCTGACTAACAGATGCCTCATAAAAAGGAAGGATGATCTACTCTGTTTGAGATCCTGCTCTTCAGTTCCCACAGGTTTCCTATCTAAGCAGGCAGCAGCTGAGTTGAGTTGCACTCCAGCAGTAAAACGGCACTGGATTAGAAGTCCAAAATCAAAACCAGCGGGAGTCCGAGGATTAACACTGTGACCCACAGCCTGTTACCCGTGACCCAGTTCAGATTTTTGGCACAATTCGGCAATTTGGCACGAAGCAAAATATGCTTTGAAAAAAACAAAAAGAGGATCACAGAATGCTATATTTCGTTCATTACGTATGAGGGAATAAGTCTGATAGAGGTCAGATATCTACATGTACAGTGTAGGGCTGCACAAAAAATAGTTTTTATATAGCCATCTCAATATTAAATTGCGTGACAAACGCATTGCAAAAAGCCTTAAGGGACTTTTTTTAAGAATTAGAGTAGAAAACTGCCCTTTCAAATATAACCTATATATTATTAACCAATATCGGTTCATTTGTGCATGGTTCCATTTTTTTTTTTTTTTAAATCAACAACCAATGTGTTAAGTGTTAGGGAATAATTTGCTTAGGTATTCAACCTTTGACACAGTTCATCGTTTTCTCTTTTCACTGTCTCTTTTCCAATGGCAATTGCTGCTTTAAGGAGGGGCAGCTTGGGGTCATTGTTGAAGCCAGTCTATGACAGAGCACAGCTGCCATGAGGTAGTTTACTGTTCTGGAACGTAGGTTCCCTGGCGCACATTCTTTTCTATGGACGAGAGCTTTAGTTAGATTCAGGGTCCATATTTGTTTAGTTTCGCTGATGAGGAATGTTGATTATTACACTCCGAACTAGTTAAAACCTCTCAAACTACAGAAGAGTTCTTCAGAATTGGTTTTGCAACCAACCGCTGTGTCACCTCGTGGCACAGCACATGTCTTGTCTATTCTCCGGCCGTAGCTCCATAATAAACCATCAGTGTTTGCCATCAAAGTTTGAGCTCTCTCTGTGTCTCTCTGAGTTCGTCTCCATTGTTTCAGAAGTTTCCATCACAATAAGCACCAAGCAGTTTACTGAACGTAGCATAACGGCAGAACTGTGTACACCACAATATCTGTTTTGTCCCAAGTAATATCATTGTTGCAATTTCAAACAATGTATTTGCATATTTTTCCTGATATAGAGTGGTGCAGGAATAAGTCCTGAGTTAGCATTAAAGCACCTCCGGTTTGCTCGTTTCAATTTAATTTTTGGTTTCGGGAAGATGCCTCAAATAAAGTCTGTGGTTATCCTTAAGAGATGTTAATGTTATGTTTTATGACATACCATACATCAGTAAAATACGCCACTTCTGAATGTGTGGAGAACAGTCTCCTTTGAGCCCTAAAAATGTTGACTTAATCTCATAACGCAGGACAGTGTTAATATGTGAAGACCCGCATGTTTGGCACAGAGCTTATTTTCCACTTCAATCCAATGGAAAGTAGGACCTCCACCTTGGATGTAAACACCAGCCCAACCCCAGCGGGAAATATAATCCCTGTCTTTTTGTGTAAAATAAAGATGGTAACCGTTACTGCTTCTGTCTGCAGTTCAATCATGCACACATGTGGGTTGTTTGGCCTGTCAACAGAAATCCTATATGACCCATATTTCTACGGTATATGTAAACAAGAAGCCAATAAATAATAAAATATGTTAAAGAAAGTTCTCCACTGCATTACATTTAATTTAAAGCTCAAAAAGGTCACTCACTTGCCCTTGCTGGCCAGGTTGTCCATGCAGGTCTTGATATACTGATTGTAGGAATCGATCTGGACATTGAAGAAGTTGGTCTTTGAATTGAGGGCGGTGTTGGTCTGCTGAAGCCTTACCAGCTCGGCTTTCCTGCGCTGGCGATACCGCCTCTGATTCCTGATGTCCTGTAACACACACATCACATTTATGTTAAACACTGAAGAGTTTAATTGTCTAAATCCAGGGGATGATTCGATGTTTTCTTACCTTGGCTATGTCGTTGATGAGATCCTGGTAGCGGTTCTCGGGGTGCACCTTCCCCAGCTCGGCGAGCCTCTGCAGGTTGCTCTTGATCTTGTCCTTCTTGCCCTGCAGCGTAAGGCTGTCGTCCACCACCGGCTTCACCTGCTTCATCTTTTCGGGGGTCTTGGCGTCTCTGATGGCCCTCCTCTGCATGGCGCGCTGGTACTCTGCTTCCTGTCATCCAGGGAGACAGGAGGAATTATAGCTGGTTAGTCCATGTTAAACCATGTTCCCATTGAAAAAGCACTGTATCTTTAAAGTGCAGGCAACTATTTCAACACCGTTTGCAGCTAACACATTATTTACTTAACATTAAATGAATTATGGCAAGTAGCGTCTATGATTTGGCTGATTTGCTACAGCAGCTAACAGATGTCCGTCTCTGCAGCTGCTGCCTGCCCTGCTCCTGGCAATACGAGTTATTTTCAAGCTTCCTTCACTTTATAGGCTTTAATCCAATAAACAAAACTTTAAAAAGTCCACTGACTTGAGTTCTGTAAATATGCACTCACTTGATCATCCTTAACAAATGGATGTGTGTCTCTAAAACCAAACTAAATTGGAATCACAATAAATTAATTTGGAAATAAACTGTAATGACAGTTACATTTCCAGGCAGCATCATATGAATTGTATTATATTACACTCAGTTTTCAAGTTTATTGGGGTTGAGTTGTCTCAATATTTATTATTTGCTTCATATTTGTAACAGTCATTTTAACAATGTTCTTTCCTCAGTGTCACATTTTGGATGTCTGCGAAAACTGCTTGCCATGTGTACTTCCCCAATACATAAATAAAATAAACATTATCTATTATGAGGAATTGGTGTTCTCATAGTTAAACAAATAGATTGTGAAGAAAACAAATGTTAGCAACACCTATCTGGTATTTTAGTAGTATCATTAACTATAATGATATCTAATAATAAGATAGGATTTTGGCACTTAGGTATTTTCAGTTTGTACAAATTCTGTGAGAAAAATAGGAAATAGAATAACATTTTCCTGTTTTGTGCCATAAGAAAAAGCAGTTTGTACACCTGTGAAAAAGTTACAGGCTAACCATCTTGTGGTGAAGGTCTAGAAGGTTTACATTAATTAAGGCAATTTCTTCACATTTTCATTCAAATATGATCAGTTGTCGCTTCCCTGAATGGTTTGTCTGACCTGCTCTGTGCTTGCTGACAGGTCCAGGATCTCAGTGAGAGTGTCCCCAGGCTGGAACCTGATCACATCCACGATGAGCCTCTTGGTGCTGAAAAGAAACATTTAAGAAATAATTAGATTTTCTGAAACAACCAAATACAAATCTACTCTGATAGCCATGAATGGACAGTATCTTACTTGAGCAGGAGAGTCCGGGCGTCCATCTCTGCATTGGCCTCACCAGGGAGGTCAAACTTGTTAGTGAGGGTGAGAGACACCTCCGTCTTCCCCATCAGCTCTTTGTTGGGGTCGTTGGGAGGAAGAGGATTCTCCCCTGAGAGTGGATCAGATGGAGAGAGATGTTGATTTAAGGCAAGTTAGACATTCACAGGGCATTATATGACATAACATGTATATTGTTAATGGGATAACAAAAATCTCTGTTACGAATGTATTCTTTCTGTACCTCAATCTTTTTCTATCAGAGCATTTAAGTACATTTTTCTCAAAAAGTACCCAATTTTCCCTAATACACATTTTTAGAAGCAAAAAACAAAATCATCTGTACCGCTCTTTAATGAACTTGTAGCGACATTTGCTTCACTACTGTCTACTTTTTTACTTATGTGTACTTTAATGTTGCACACTGCGATTTGCATTGTTCTTAGCCTTATGACAATAAAGACCCAATATATTCTCACCGATGAGGGACTCTACGGTGGGAACCTCCCCCAGGTCCTCCAGCAGCTCGTGGATGGGGTCATTATGCTCTGGAGCGATGGCGTCCTGATGGTCCAGCAGCAGCTAACAGGAGAGAAGAACAGGCAGTGTGTTAGCCAAACTTAAGAAGTCCAAAGCGTTCAAAAACATCTGATAATGAAGAATCCAGGCACCAATTGATGAGAATACATATAAGCAGTTGGGATAACATGAGGTGGAAGGAGGTCCAAACTCACAGTGTGAGTGTTGATGATCTCTCCGATGGAGATGTAGATGACAGGTTTGGTGACGGTCACCAAGTCAGAGTACTGATCCACATTAAACTTATCCTCCAGCGAGGGAACATCACAAGCTGCCAGGAAGAAACGCCTGCGATGAAAGAAGGAAGGATAAAGTCAGATGGTCCAAGAAACAAAAGGGACGAGGTAAAAAGGAAGGAATAGGATTTCTTGAATGGTATCTCTACAACAGCTAACAACAGACCTGAACTTCTGGTAGGAGTTGCTGAGATATTCGTTGATGGGGTTGAGGTGGGCGTTGTCTCCCAGGAACATCTTGTTGGAGGCGGCGTGCTGCAGCATCTTGGCAACGGAGCCCAGGTTTCTCCGCTGCTCAGTGGTCAGCTGGCCCCCCGCCGACACCTCGATAATGTCGAAGGCATCGGGGGCCACGATGGCTGGGTTCATGTAGCGGTAATACAAGAGGTTCCCCACAATCTGGAAAGCCGCAAATAGAATGAGTCAATTAGTTTAAATTATAACTATCAGATGTATTTGACTTCTTTTTTGTGCTTAATGAGAAAAATGTTAGGAGGAAAAAATTGTTGAACAAGCATATAAAGGCTCTTAAGATTGGAAATATTACCTAACGGATCAAATAAAAACTCAAGCAATGTTAGTTCAGTTATATTAAGTTATATTTTGCCTGTATCATTTTTGAAAGTTCCCTACATTATTTTCATCTGTGAAACAACAACATTTTTGCCTAGTGAAAATAACTACTTTTGGCAAGATCATACTTTAGGTTATTTATATGTTTTACTCTGTCAAAACAAATATTTGTTTGTTAGAATAATTATATTAGTTTTTGATGTTGTCATATCTGGAAAAAACACAAATGCTTTTTATCTCATTTGAAACATGGTGCAGTTCAGCCTAGTGTGGCCAAAACGAGTATTACAACAACAAGCTCTGTCACAGACCAAAAAGGAATTTAGAAAGAATACAATGCCAAAGATTTTTACCCCATGTTTTTAAGTAATTAACACAGGTCATAAAATAATTTAGATCAGACTTACAAAATCAATAAATACAAATGATTAACTTTGTTGCCTCTCTGGGCTCCCGTAGTAAGATACAGCCACACACAAATACTAATATATGCAGTATCACTGAATTAAATAAATCATTGGATTAGGATTATTTTCTAAACATTTTAACTTTGGCCATTCAGGGAGTGCACTTGTTGTCATTCAAAACAAGGAGCTGCAAATGACATCTTTGTTGGCATCTTTCTCTTTAATTACTATTCAGATTAATCTTGAATTGGATGAGTTGAGTTTAAGAGGTTAGGTTCTACAGAAAAAAAGGAGGAAAGGCTCTTGACCATGTCAGGACACAGCTTGTGGAGGAAGAAGAGGAAAGCCAGGAGAGTGTCAGGGCTCGCCTTAATGTCAGCAGACACCCCCGCCCCGACAGACAGGCTGCAGCTGGTCCAACAGGTGGGTAAAGCAGAGCAAGAGCAAGAAAGGGGAAAAAGGAGAGTCATGTTTAAGAAACAGTGAAGAGGGAGCCAGGCAGAAGATGGGGAAATACTTTCAACAAAGAGGCCAGAGAAGGGAAGATTTCAACACAACTACTTTCTATCTCAGTATGTTTTAAACTATCTGTGGGCTGGTTGTGTCTGAGTGGACTGGGAACATAAATATATATATATTGTGTGATTTGAGCGAACTGACCCTTACCCCTAACCCTATGACAAGTATAAACACTCAGAATAAAGAAGCGAACCTTGAGCAGCTCGTCCTCAGTGGCATCAGGGAATTTCTCATGAAGGGTGTCTTTCAGCACCTTGGAGACGAAACGCATCCCGTATCTGACAAACAAAATAACAAAGTGTGAGACAGGCAGGGAGAACAAATAATGATTACTGCTTTGAGAAAGCTGATGAGGATGCTGAGGACGCAGGGAGGAACGTACGGAATTTTATCCACCGAGACGATTATGGCCGACAGGAATTTGTCTGTGATCGTCTTCATGTTCTTGATGGACGCCTCCAGTCTTGTCCTCACCTCCTCGTGGGCCATGGCCTGCTCTGGAGTCACATCGTAAGGCAGCTTACTGTTGAGGACAGGACAGGAAGAGATGAAGACATATAGAATCTAGTGTTCATAATAACCTACTGAAGACTTATGTGCTTTACTGTGTAGTACGGTAGACATGCACAAAAACACAATTGAAAAACAAGCAAAAATAATTGCCAGTATCAAACATTTAACATCTTTTAGCAACATTGAGCCTCATTCACAAACTGCTTTTAAGAAATGTATTTGTTAAACCCTCTTTAGCATAAGATTGTGACATTCACTAATGTTTCTTATCTAAGATATGTTTTAACAGGAGCACATTTGAGAGCGGACCCGTTTTTTCCAAAATAATTGGTTATTGCATTTTCTTTAATTAAACATTTGATAATAATAATATATTCGTTAATTTAATGTTGCGACCATGTAATCACTTTTTGCCAACTCTAGCTGTAAAACAGATGAAATATCTTGCTTAGAAAAAAACAAACAATGCTTTGGAACAAGTATGAATAATGACTGTGAATGGTGCTTCATGAGAATATTAGGGGGCCTTTTTATGCAAATTCTCAGGTTCATATTTGTACATTCCATTAAATGTATATTATGTTTTAGAATAAAGCTCTACATATACTGTACCATGTGTGTCCTCCATCTGACTGTTGTTGCACAGGCAGTGGAGGACTGTAACTACATTTACTGACGCACAATTTTGAGGTATTGAAAGGGTCCCTATTATGCTAATTTCCAGGTTCATAATTGTATTTTGTACCTCTACTGGGACATGTCTCCATGCTTTAATGTTCAAAAAGCTCTTTATTTTTCTCATACTGCCTGTGCTGCAGCACCTCTTTTCACCCTCTGTCTGAAACCAGAGCCCAGTCTGCTTTGATTGGTTAACTGGCCAGCTCTGTTGTGATGTTTAACCGCTTAGATATGTCCCGCCCCTTAGCCTATCACGTACAATGTGTTGGAGGGCTAGCCAATAGAAGCGCAACTGTTACACAGTGATGTCATTATGTAACAGAAGTAAACTTGGCAGTGTGACAGGCAGGGGGGGGGAGAACTCCTTCAGGAGGGAACTTTAGGATTTTAACCTTTTCTAGACCATTTACATGCACAAAACCTATATAACACATTACAGGAAAGGGAACCCTCCAAGAAGCATAATAGGACCAATCCATATAGACAGTTATAGACCAATTAATTGTTTTCCTGTTTTTTAGCATTGATATTGCAGTATGTTTTCCATATTATGAAAAAACATGAACCCCTCCGGCTCACCTGGCCTCTCCAGTCTGCGTCTCCATCTGGTTCACCCAGCTCTTGTAGATGTCCACGGGGTCGGTCTTTATGTTTAGCGTTTTGTCATCCATGATCTCCTTGACGACGGGGGCCAGGATCTGCCGCAGAGCGTTCTGTCCCCGCGCCCCTCTATGGAAGCTCACCACCATCTTGATGACGGTCGGGTTTCCTGTGATGATCTCCTTCATCTCGTCCACCTTTGACCTGCGAAACAAAACATGATTACACAGTGCATGCATCAACCAGGCCTCGTGATCCTGTGGGTATCTGAATGTTGACTGTGTTTCAGTGTCTGCTTCTCACTTGATCTCCTCCTGCAGGGCAGTTTTGAAGAGCTTGGTCAGCAGGTACTCCTCCCTCTGGTTGGAGGCGTAGTTATACAGGGTGAAGATGACAGAGTCCATGAACTTAGTGGACTTATTCTGTGGCATCTGGAAGATCAGCTTGGCGAGATACGTGGGGTTGGTCTAAAAGGAAGGATTATCATAAGAGAGTTTAAGACCAGGATAAAAAGCTGCTGTGAGTCTGTTGTTCAGAAGAGAAAGGCTCCTTTCACATGTGCAATGCAACCTTACAAATATTTAGAAATGACCCGGAGGAGCTGTATGTGAGAACAAAAAAGTCCTTATCGTTCTGACAGGATATTAAAACAGGCTTTTCACAGTCAGCTTCCTAGTACTGAGTCTGAGTCATGTTCAATGTGTGAATAGAGACCCTTATAGACAAGAGAATACATAGAAGATAAATGGCTGCGTTGATGACTTTTCTATCGTGGTTGGCAAACATATTGAAAACGCAAACAAAAATACCTTTTCCCATTTTGGGAATTTCTTTCTTTAAAGGCTGACAATAAAACATTCAGACAATTTTAAGGAACAGTAAGAGACCTGATTGTTAAGGACAGGATTCTTTCAAAGGGGATCCTGAGTGTTATAGCAGGGGCTCCACGTTCCTTTTGTTGGATAATATTTGTATTTTGTTGTATTTTATGCACTTTACAGGAACATCATAAATAAAACATAACATTAAACTGTTACAAAGGTTGGAAATTAACTCTTGAATAAAAAATATACTGTCTCTTGAAAGATTAATATTGTTTGTTGGGCTGTTGAATGAAGCTAATTCAACAGCTACTTTCATATTTTACCAGCATTTGGCTGAAGCTAATTTCCAAGACTGCTCTTATTAAAGGGGCCCTATTCTGCTCATTTTCAGGTTCATATTTGTATTTTGTGCCTCTACTTTGACGTGTTTCCATGCTTTAATGTACTGTAACGTACCTGTAACAGATAAAAGAGGAACTGGTAGGCCTCCAGTTTGACCCTCTTCTCCTTGCTGAGGGCCTTCAGCCCCCCCCTCTGCTTGTTCATCATCATCATGTTTGACAGCTGGCCCTTGTTTTTCCTGGTCAGCTTCTTGCTGTGGGACACCACCTCCTGCAGCGTGATCTTGTTCTTCACCAGCAGGCCGATCTTGATGTCCATCAGGTTCAGGTCGTTCTCCAGCTGCTGGTTGGAGCGGATGTTGGTGACCACCTCCTCGCGGAGATGCATCAGCTCCAGCTCCTCCTGGAAGTCCTGGTCGCTGTGGTCCAGAAGGTGGACGAACTTCCTCACCACCGCCATCGGAGGATCCTCGGCGCTGACTGCGTGAGGAAGGAGATTTAGAGTCAAACCACCGCAGACACTAGAGAGCAATCCAAAGCACTATAAAAGATCTGTTGGGATGCTACTCACTCAGCGTCTTATAGTCGTCTCTGGCCTTGTTGGCTCTAATGAAAGCCTGAATCTTCACCACCTGATTGATCTGCAGTAGGAAACAGCAATCACTTGGTTGATCAATTGTCTTCATTAAGCACAGGAATGCACTTTGGGCTCAAGTGGAAATGACTTCGCTCATGGCAGAGTGTTAAATGAGCCTCCCTCTAACCCCACAGGACACAGACTAAATGTCAACAGATGTCAGGAGAAATGTATGCACAGTGATTTACAGCTTTTATTAGAGAACACTGCGATTTTACTAAAAACCCTAACAGACAATTTGTCTTGGTTCTTTGTTGTTGTGCAAAACTCAGTTATCTGTGATCTCTTTATAAAACATGCTTTCAGGCTATGAATACTCACGTGATCTTGGAAGTACTTCAGCCTATCCTTGTATTTCTTACGAGCTTGGTGCATCCGAACCATGGATTGGATCTGAAGGAGACAAAACAAATCCTTTAATCTTAACTGTATTTATACGAACAATGATAATATTCAGATTACATAAATTGCTAGGACTTGACATAAATGTTCGAAGCTTTGAATCTTCATTCATATTGTTTACATCCAAATACTTAAATCATAGATTTTTTTCAAAAATATTTATTTTTTGGAGGCATTTCTACAGTACACTTATATTATTAGCACAGTTAACTATAACAATAGACATTCAAATCTCCATTTTGAAAAAATCAAGAGAAGCTTTGAATGTGAAACAGTCACATTCAGTACATCCTGACATTGTGTTATAGTTTCACCTTCACAGCCTCATCAGTGTGGTCTTTCAGATACTGCTTACGGTCTTTGAACTTCTTCCTCTGTTTGTGGCCTTTCCAGTGAGCCTGACGGTAAAATAAATAAATACAATGAAGATCAGTTTAATAATAAGTCCTGATAGCAGACAGGAGTTAGCATTACTCAGGATAATATGTGTACCTGTATGCAGTTAACAGCTGGTTCTTGGGATTTCAGGAAGTTCAACCTCTCCTTTTGGCCATTCCTCACCAGGTAGCCACGGCAACGAGCTTGCAGCTTGGCAATCAGAGTCTCGTTGGCCAGCCACAGCTGTTTGCGATTATAGGCAGTGGTTACCCCGGAAACCACCGACTGACAAGGAGAAACAATGAGTTTAACGTGGTGCTAAAAAGCTGCGCTGTTGTGCTGCAATCTCAGCGGCCGTGACCTACCTGGATGTCCTCCTTGTTGAGCTGGGTGTTGTTCTGCAGGAAGCCCTCCGGCTCCACCCAGGTGCCCTCCTTTCTCTGTAGATTATAGTAGTAGTTGTGTCCTCCCTTCACCCAGTGCTTCATCCACTCACTGCCATTATCACCTGGACAGACAGCATTACAGAACACAAGGGGACAATATGGAGCCAGATGTTAGCAAGAAGCATCTTCCATCTATTTCCAGTTTAGAGAAGAAGTTCTTGATTATAATAATAACGATTGTAAGGGAAACTAAAACTATTTTCAAAATGAATACACTTTATTTCTATGGTCTAAGACAGAGGGGAATCTACAGCCTGTACGGAGAACTTTTTCTGTTTCACAAAACACAGCACTAAAGTAGAATTAAACTTATTTGGGTAGAAAGAAGCAGAAAAAAATCTCCAGACAATATACTTGATGACATCACAAGTTTGAGACAAACTATGAGTGTGAGTAGCTCATGTTCAACTAAGTCATGGAAAGAAAACATCTGAATTTATTTATAAGGTGATGTTCGCCTTGAATTTTGTTTTGAAATCAAAATCTGAATTATAGAAACACAGGAGGCAATGTACATTTTGTACAGCAAAGGGCACAAGTCAGATACAAAGTCAAAATACAATAGTAGAAGAGTAACTATATAAAGAGGCCATCAGACGTTGATGAAATAAATTCAAATTCATACACATCCAGGTAGAAAAATTATTTGCAGCATTATGAAGTAAGTAATCTAATAAAAGTTGCATGTCTTTCATGTCACAGTATAGGGAGCTACTACCACTTAAACGTATGGCCATTTTATTGTACATTTTAAAACCCTAATCAGGCCAATCTCTGCATCCTTTAAAACACTGGAAACCGCTTAAAAGATTAATCATTCCTCCAAAATGTAGCAAAGTTGTCGATGATCAGCACAGGGCCACAGCAACTGTCACATCAATACTTTTACCACTGAATATTCTCCTCACCTTCTGCCTTCTTCTCCTCTTTGATCTTGGAAAGGTCGTCCTGGTAGGTCTGCCCACACTCAGAGGTGACCCCGTACAGTCCGGCCCCGGGGCAGCGCAGTGCCGCCAGCGTCTGAGCCGGGTCGCCACTGTCCACCGCCTCATTCACAGCCTGGATGGACTGAGAGACTGCGGGTACAAACGCAAAAAAACATCAGTCTTTGCTGCTCTTCTTCTCACTCTGCAGACTTACAACTGAAATAGTGTACGGTTAATGAAAACAGAGTGTGCTCTTACACTGTAAGGCTTCTTGGGTGTCCTGGTTTGCCTTCAGAACAGCATCCTGGATCTCATCCAGCCACAGCACAGCAGACGGGTCTTGGGTCTCCTGGAAGGAAACCGAACAATATGTTTAGAAACAAACACACACATCATCTTTCCTGGAGTTAATCATGGTTGTATCAGAGAGCTTTTGTTTTCTCTTCCAAAGCAGGAGCCTAACACCAAAGTTGTATTGTTTGTTTTAGTTATAATATATTATTAAAAACAGCATATCAGACTTTTTTAGTACTCAAAACCCCCTCTGTAGTAGGTCCTGCTACAGTATTCTATAACCACATGTTGCATCGATTCTACTTCTCTCATATTGTGATACTTACAGACCAATTACATTTTTCCTTTGAATATTTAAAAAAGACCAGGTACATCTTCCTGCCAGTTCTTATATCCTCAGTCCTAGCGTGGATAGTAGTGGGACAAGGAAATCCTCGACTGTACCATAAAGATAAGCAGCTGTGGGTTAAATGTGCCGGATATTTAATCACAGTGTTCAAATTGCAACATCTCTTAGGGTTGCATTATATTCTGCTCTATTTCCTGCTAAGTGGGTGACGACATCCCTCGCTCTGTATAGATTTCTACATTTGTGATAGAAAAGCTGTTGCTTGTTGATTATGAGGGACTGACACATCATCGCTGTCACATTTAAGCGGTTTTAAATACGCAGAAAGCTGCAACACCTTTTAAATTTGGCCAGTAATAAAAAAAACACCACAAACAGACCTATAAAGTAATAAATGTCACTCACAGATGTTTTGTTTAAAGTTATGTCACTTGATTCCATTTGCTTAGACAACACCAAGGCCTTTATACTGAATGTAACACTATAATATTATGGACTGCAGTTCTACTTAACTACAACCAGATGGCGCACTCTGTCTCTGTATATCATGTGGAAGCTGTCTACCCCCGTAAAACAGACAACTCATTTTGTTTCAGCCCCCCCCCCCTCTCCATGTGTCCCGCCCCTCTATGCTGTGCTCCAGGGTAGATGAGAGGAGGTGTGTGCAATGCATGTATGTATGTGTGTGAAAGAGGTGGGAGTGTATGACTGATACCCCATCTTGAAGGTTTCTGATGTAAGGGGAGGGGGAGCTAACATCTGCAGCAGCAGCATGCAACACCAGGACTCATGCCGTTTTAGTAAACAGAGCCCTACCTGTTGATTACTGTTTGCATGTTTGCACTCTGCAACATAAGTGGCATGTGTGTGTGTGCGGTGATGAGGAGCTGCCCTCAGCTGGCAGGAGACAGGGTGTGGTGCCGGGTGGATGGTGGGTTGGAGGAGGACTTGGGCCTGAATTTGTGTGGTTCACACGTTCCAAGCTCATCATGGAAATAGAGGAAGTGAAAGCTGAAGAGGCTGAGTGGTTGAAAATTCAGCTTTTTTTTTTTACTTTTCTTCTGCAATTTATTTCTCCATTCCCTAGAAATTATGAGCAAGTTTTCAAAACTACCTTAGGAATATTGATTACATTTTTCTCTTTTTAATTTCTAAAACTGTTTATTGTACGTCTTTTATATAAAGGTATATAAAGATGTATTGTCAATATTAATTTATTTTAGGTATTTTTTTATTAAATTTGCTCATATTTTCTCTTTATTTTAGATTTTTTGTTCATGCCCTAAATGTACATTTTCTTTCAATTTAATTATTTACCTCATCTTTCACACTGCCACTAAAGGACACCAGAGGCAGAAATGTCGATTGCATGTATTTACTTTTAGTTTTCTCATTTTATATACTGCTCCGTATATATCCTATATATTCAATATCATCGGTTTCATAGAACATCACGTCATTATCAATGAAAAATTATTGTATACAGTATAAATGGAAATGAGCACTGGCACAATGATATAATGTATGAGTAATCTTCTAAAGGGCCAAAAACAATTTTGAAAAAATAAATAAAAATAAAGGAAACCATGAGCTCATTCATATGTCTATGGGCCTAACGCCTGAAGCATGAAAACACACATACAGAACAAAGCATGGCTACACTGAAACCCACACAGTCCCCTTTGTGTCAGTAGCAGTTACACAGCGATAACCTTCCAAAGAAGCGAACTGTAGTGGACTACATTGCGCTTGTTAGTCAGTGCAGTCTGGGCCGGACTTCCTGCTGTTTATCCAGGCACAGCCCTCAGCCCACAGTCAGCGCCGGCCCCTGCCTCACTGTCTCTGACTAACTCTGCACAGTTAATGAGGCGACATAAAGAAGCCAGCCACAAATGAAACCACAGGCGGAAAGACCGTTGTGGCTTGCTTTTTCTCTGAACTCCCCTGCCCTCGTATCACCTTGAAACACCCCCTCCTGCAGCCGGACTCTATCTCCACCATGTGGGTCTTCTCCTCAGTTAACCCCATCCCTCCTCTATAATCCTCCCCCCCCCCCCCAGCTGGGGAACATCTCTTCTCCTGCAGCGCTTTGAAACCCAACAGGAAGCTCACACTGCCCTAACTACTTCCTCTCTGTCTTTAACTAATGGCCTCAAACAGAAACATGCGCTAATCAACAACCAGAGGGAGGTGTTTGCGTGTGTGTGTGTTCGTGGTGCATGTGTTACACTGGTCAGCTTTCTGCCCTTTTATGGAAGCAAAAAACTGCTTGTTATTTCCTATGCCTCTGAAATCAGCAGGAAAATAGTCTTTTTTTACTCCCTTGTGTTTTTTGTTCTGGGTCCCGTTATGAAAGTGTGCCGAGTTCCCACATGATGTAATCCAGGGTTTGGATATAACTGATGGCTGTTGACATTTCAAACAGTGTGGGTAGCGGCCAAGTATTTTGCAGCCCAGACTTGATAAGAGATATTTTTGTAACCATATTTACACAGGATAAAAAAAGACTACTAAAATGGATTCACTGAAGATTGTTCCTTTTAAATACATTTTTTTTAAAGAAATCAAGTGAAAACTAGTGCTTGTTTAATCATATATATTATTTATTCAATTGTGTTTGTTTTAGTCCTGTGTCAAAGGTCGACCTCATTCTGTTTTTTGTTTTAAATGTATTTAAAAGTCATGGTAATTAAGACTATCTCAAATGTTTAGGTCTAGTTTTAAAAACATTTGATATTGAAGTCTTTTTTGTCATCAGATTATATTTAATAGACAATCTGCTCTAACCAAAATATCACCTTATCCAGATAAAAAAAAGTCTGATGAAAGTGTGAACGTTAATCCACTTTATACGTATTAGGGCTTTTCACCTCTTCTGCACCTTAGTGCTCTGTGCTGAAACTGAATCCACCTCTAGGCAGACAAACTTAACATGGCCGCCTTCCTGTGAAATCCTATGCAAATGTTCTGCACGTACAGAAACCACGACCATCAGCTTGCCTCACTCGAGTAAAGATAACAAGCAAATGAGGCAGCGGATGATCCGCCTTCAGGAATGACTTTTCAATATCATGTCTGGACTTACACATGCACATGGGAAATAGGGAGGGTTAATGAAAACAGAAAAGATAGGTGAAACCTCAGAGAGCTGAAGAGACGGAGAGCAGACAGACAGGAAGTGAGCGGGGGGAAGAGATGATCACACCATGACATCAGGCGTCTGGTGGTGTCATGTGGAGCTCAGAGGCTTGAGTCACATGGAGAAATCTGCTACAAGCATGGGTCTACAACCCCATTCATCTTTGACCACACATCACAATAATGCTTCTGCTGCAGACAGTGTGTGGGTATTTAAGGTCAATTGATTCAACCCATAATGGAATGTTTTGTGTTTTTAACTATTAAAGGCTTTAAGGTGGTGTGATGCACCCTGCCCTGAGCCCTTTGGCTGTATAGAGGCTAGATGCTTCTTAAAATGTTTGAAAAAGCTCAAAGTTAAGCATCAGGATATCAAAAGGTATGTTTTTTTGTCTAATTTCAATATGAAGGCTTATAGAAAAATATAGCAAATGCTTAAATAAAATTAAAAAATGATCCAAAAAGGGTTTAAAAAAAAACAGAAGCTAGGGTAAGAATTTCGGATGCAAAAGCCCAAATTCAGGGGCCATTCTAGTGACATTGTTACATCTTATTCCCTGGTCTGAATTATTTATATTGAGTATTTCAACTCGATTGAAAACAAATAGTGCATTTTAGTAAAGGAAAATGAGGCGCATTGAACATACAAATACTAATCAAAATAGTAATATTTAAAACCAGGCCGTTTGCTTATTTATTTATTGACACCTTCACTGTAGGGGGTTAATCCTGACATGCCACAACGATAGTTAGTGAATTGATTCACTGTAAGCCGAAATAAAACCTTATTAACAACTATTTGTCAACTGGAGAGCACTCTGTACTTGCCAAGGACACAGGTTTCAATAAATAAGGGTATAAATGACTATTTCATAACAGAAATCCTGATTGTAATTTAGTAGTATGAAAACAAATTGCCCTGATAACTTTCTGGGGGTGTGTGCAATATTTTGGAGACAGATATGAGTGCTTATCCAGCAAGTCACTGCATCAACTAAACCAAATATTGAATATCGCTCCATATGTTTGGCTCCTCACATGTTTCATATGCCCAGTTATACTGTATTGTTTCTTTACAGTAATCAATGGTATTAGCTGCAGTAAAACGCTTTTAAAAGTCTCCACGTAACTGTAGCCAGGCACGGTTTGCATATAATGTTTGCATAATGCTCACCTGAATTAGATACACATGAAAAAAAAAAAGCAAATAACAAAAGGGCTAACCCTAACCCAGGCTCAGACACGCTAACTAGAGTAAACATAATAATCATCCATACTTCATATTTATTTTTATCAGTTTCTCCATCTCTACATGAAAAACGTGTCAATGTTTGTGTCTTACATGAGCCTTCTCTCTTCGGGCCTCCAGCAGTTTGTCGTGGTAGTGCTGAGCCACAGACGGATCCACATCTGTGAGCTTGGCTGAGGGGTTCTGCAGCATGGACAGGGTCTTCGTGGGATCCCCCTCATCCAGGGCCTCGTTGATCAGCCCGATGGCGGCAATACCTGCAGAGGAAACAGATCAATTAAAACTCTGTGGGTCCAGCACCACAATACAAGATGAATTAGAAGATATGGACGAGAGGGAACTTTTCAAAAGTGTAGAAATGTTTTCATGGAGCTCACTAAATAAATCGTAACTGTAATCCTCTGCATTAATACTTTTTCCAATGTATTTTATACCTCCTACGGATGGGATACCATTCATAAAGTGTTACAGTTAAAATGTTTACCATCGAACCTTGGGCAGGTTACTTGTTAGCATACAAGCTATTAGCGACGACAAGGAGGGTGTGTTTTTGGAAGGGTTTGTCTGTCAGGAGGATTATGGGAAAACTATTGGCCTTATTTTCATAAAACTTGTTGTAAGAGTGAAGCATGAGCCATTCAGAAGCTGTCTAGTTTGGGAGCGAATTAGAATCATGGGGAGATACACTAACTTATTTTCAATTTCGTTAACATTGCAAGATATGGCCTTGGCAGAGGTCAGTGCTTTCTGATTGCCTTCCTAGTTATCTTTTGTAGTAACCATTTTAAAACAGTAAACATGAAGACATTTGACATATTTGGGCGTGAATGGATTCCAATGTTTGTCTTACGTTCATGCTCCTCATGCACAGTGAGGTTGACTTGGTCGATGCAGGCTTGGATATCGTTCCAGGTGAGATAGTCACAGCCCTCCTCTCTGGCTGCTGCCTTCAGACGCATCAGTTCATCCATGTACCTGAGGAACAAAGGTACAACATCATCAGCCGGCCTACGTCCCATCAAGAAACACACAAAAACCTCTGACAGCACTTATTCAGTGTGTGTGTGTGTGTGCGTGTGCGTGTGCGTGTGCGTGTGTGTGTTCACCTCTGTGCATATTCATCCTCCACATTACTGAGTCCAGTGACGACGCTGGACAGCTGTTTCCAGAGGGCGGTTCGGTCCCCAGCGTCCATCGCCTGATTCATCAGCACCACCGACGACAGCATCTCCACGGCAACCAGCAGTTCTGGGTGGGACAATGAGCCCTGCGGGAATCACGACACACATTTACCTTATCTGTCACACTGCCACTGAAGGACACCAGAGGCAGACATGTTGACGGCATCTAGACTTGTTGTTCCACAGTTCAATCAGAGGAAACATGGCCGAAATGAAACATCAGAAACACACTCTAAAACAGGTGATAAAGTAGTCAGTTATACCACCTATACACTGCTTTTAAATTAGCTGGATATGTTATGTACTGTCTGCCTTACAGAAATACATTTTAGTCAGTAGTAGTAGTAGTAGTAGTTAGTTTCAACTAATAAAAATGCTCTGCCTTCCAATAAGTAATATCCTATATAATTACATTGCTGACTCATCTGTTTATTCTTTAAGATTGCATAAATCAGTAAAAATAAAAGTATCCCATAATAGTTCCTTGATTCTCACAGAATGCCTTCATATTGCGATCAATCCAAATAACAAATATATTTGAAAAGTCAGAAATTATATATATATTTTAAAGATCTTAAAAGCTGGATTCTAACGTACTGTATTGATTTTCTGTTAATCGCCTCATTAGTTTATAAACGTATTGGGATTTATTCTAGTACAAGATGTAACATGATATATTTTTTCTATCTGAAGGTGGAATAAAATGACTCTGGAAATCTGTTACAAGGTGTTGGCTTGTTTCAATAAATTGTTAAAACAAAACCTAGGAATAGGAATTGGGGCTCACTCATGAAATGTCCAGTGGGGTAGCATTTACTAAGGCCTTGCATTTATTCAAATGTTTATTCTGAACTGTGAGTGGTTTAGTTTATGATTGTTTGATCAGCATATTATATCTACCAAGATGTGATTGAAGTACCTTATCAACAAGTTAGTAAACAGAACATGCTTTACTTCTATTATATTCAAAGTCTGCCTTTTATATTTAAATGGGAAGTGTATGTCTTTGTATGTTATGTGGAAAATATAATTAACTAATTGCTTCAGAATTGTTAAAAAAGTGTGTTGCATTTAATGTATTTTATCATTTGTAAAACTAGGCGATAAGGGTTTAGTTGATAAAGTACACTGAGATATCAACACAGTGGGCTAAATTGCCATGCCAGATCTGTAGTAGTATAAACATACCAAAGTATAAACTTTAGTATGGTACTGACAAGATCAGTAGATTTCATTCTTTAGATTAATTCATCCCTTAATTTCCCCTGAAAAGCCACATAATGGACCAGCGTATCTCCCTTTGTGTGAGTGTGTTCCTCGCTGTGTGTACCTCCGGGCTTTGCTGCTGCAGGCAGACCAGCTCTCTCTGGTAGAGGTCTGCAGCGCTGGGGTAGACTTCCGGCAGCTGAGCGTCAGGGTTCATCAGCTCCTCCACCGTCTTCTCTGGCACCCCCGCCCTGATGGCAGCGTTGATGCGCTCCACTGCCTTCAACACTATACATACATAGAAAATTAACACTTGTGCAGATAGAAAGGGGGAAAGAATAATTGTATAAGAAAGCATGTGCATACTCTTTAGGTAGCCTGCTGCAAACTCATTAGACACGTCCACGCCGGTCTGCAGCTCATCTTTAGTCAGGGCTTCTCCTGGAGATACCTAATAAGAAAGAAATTAAGTTGAGATTTATACCGAGGAGACAAAGAAGCCGCACCGTTTTCTTGAAATAAATACAGCTTGTTTTTGCACTCTGTTCCCACCTGGTCTTTGTTCTCTCTGTCACCCTGCAGCTGTTTGAGGTACCAGCCTTTGTTCTGGACCTGCAGGTTCTGGATGCCCATGGCTTTAAGTGCCTCGTATAACTTATCCTCATCGCCGCTCAGCAACGCTTGCTCGGCTGCACTCAGGGCGGTGGCCACTGCAGGAGAGAGGTTTACATTTTATTACAGCACCATGGAAACCCAAGACAAATGAACAAATCGGTGAATAAACGTGTGCGTGTGTCTTACCGTTGACCTTGTTGACGTTGCCCTGGATTTCAGCCTGGGTGAGAAGCTCGTCGTAGATATCTCTCTCTGCTTCGGCGTTCTCCATTTGCTGTGTAGCCAACAGCAAATCAAACATAACAGCATTACACATGAGCATCACTTGTCATCACATCCCCGCAGGACACGAGAGTAAAACATGTATCTCTGCGGTTATTTTGTTCTCCTTTTACCATCTTTAGGGTAATTCATTCACTCTGCCTGTTGGCACAAATTTACATTCTAAAATGTACATTTATCTTTCATTGTAAGGACATGCTGGCAAATCTGATGGAGTGTCTACCCCCACCCCAGCTCATCTTCCAGCCTCCATTCTTTACTTTTGTGGCCGTTTTCATTTCTGCTGCCCTGGTGGTTTGCGTGGATTCAACATTTTTACTCCTCTCTTCTGCTTGGGGCTACATTATCTTGGGGTTCAATTATCCTCTAATCATAAAGTGGACAATGGCTGGCCCATTTTTTATTTTACGGCCATCTGATGATCTTTCAAGGATAACGTGCCCCAGGCTAACATTCCTCTCTGGCCATCAGAAACCATCTGAATCCAGAGCACACTATCTGTGATCGCTGAAGTTTAAACCTGCGTACCCGTTTGCGGGAGTTGGCCACCTTCTCTCCCTTGGCCTGGTACAGTGTGTCGTGGTACTGGCGAGCAGCACTGGCATCCAGGTTGACCAGCATGGCGTTGGGGTTCTGCATGGCGGCCACCGTGCCCTCTGGGACGCCGTGGTCGATGGCGTCGTTGATGGCGATCACAGCAGCATGTACTGAGGATGAAGAGGAGTACGGGAGGAGCTGGCTTTAAATTACATTTGGGGGGCCATTGCAGGTATTTAAAATTAAATGGGTGGACATTTGTAAAGTGTGTTTAATCGCTCTCTTGCTCAGATATAGATACCACTCAAATTACTCTTTTAATTCAACTAATTCATTATTAGTATACACAAGGAACAGCAAGTAAACAAAAGAAGCTGAGGCAGGAGAGCAGAAAACATAGCTTATAAAGAAAATAGCCCTATGGTGAGTTACATAAATGGCACAGCAAGGGAACTGTTAGCTTAGCTTAGCATAGCATAAAGACAGCAGTTCCCAAGAGCTAGCCTAGTTCTGCGGAAAAAACAATTCCTACATGCAACTCTAAAGCTCACAAAACAATAGTCTAATAATGACAAGTTCTAGTCTTTTTTTGTGTTAATAAATTAGACACAATATAAAGTTAAAATTATTGAGCTTCAGAAGTACTAGTAAGTGGAAAATGTCCACTTTTGGAAGACAAAAGCTAGCAGAAGCTATAGCGCTGTTTCCAGTCACATGCTAGGCTAAACTGAGCAACTAGCTGTAGATTAGGATTTTAACGGACAAATCCGAGATAGTATTCAATCTTTTATTTAACTCTAATAGCAAGAAAGTGAAAAGATGCACATATCCAAAACGTTTTACTTGTCATGTGAGTTTAGATTATTCTGGATTTTGCATCATAGTAGGCCCACATACAAATGGATATAGTTTGCCATTGACTTACTTGATGCAAAGAAGAGGTGGAGAAAATTAAGTACTCATCCCCTAATCAAAGCAGGAATCAAGCCATTATCCTCGCAATTTAGGGGAAAGATTTACAAATAAAGCTGTCTTTTTTGTCTTTTATTTGACTGATAATAAATGTTACTATGTAACAAAAATAGAGTTGTAGATACATTTAATACTTGAAGACTTTTGTGGCTGAGTTTTGTGACCTCCAGAGGGTCGAGGAGATTAGTATCAGTTTTATTATGGAAGAATTAATCAACTTAACTACCGGTACATAATTTGCAGCTATGACATCCCACCCTCTCCCCATGACATCTGAGCCCCACTCACAGGCAGCTTCATCCACAGAGAGCTCATTGGCCAGGATACCGCCAATCTTGCTGAAGGCGGGCATCTGGATTCCATACTTTTCCAGCTCGCTCTTCATGTTGTTGATCTCCTCCTCTGTGGGAGAAGACAGAGCAGAAGGAACATATCAATGGAGGGAACAGACATGGTGGTGGGGGGACTGGGTTAGAGTAGTAGAGACTGTGGAGACAGACTGTTCCTGGCTCATGTGAGATAATCACATGTCTGACTCCGGCTCCGGGACAAGGAGCTACGCGGGAACACAACTGACAGGAAAAGCTCTCACAATTACTAATGACTTTCACACACTGTGGCCTGCTGGGTAAAAAAAACTCTGTGTACCAAAAACATTTTAAACGTCTTGTTAACTTTGGCAGCACGGTGACATTTGTAATGCTCTGGATTTAGGCTGACATAATTGGGTTAACAGGGACAGAATGAGGAAAACAGATGCACATTCTCGAGCTTACCAGTGAAATCCACTTTTCCATACAGATCCTGGATCTGGGGGGCCAGGCCGAGCTTGAACAAGTACAGACTGTAAGACAGAGACATGAACAATGAAACATTGTAGAATGGGTAGTAGCAGAGCTGAAACGTCACACAAAAATGGCAACAATACAGAAACTAAAACACAAAAATCAATTTCATGCAGGTTCATTTGCTCAGGGTTAAAGCAAAATTGAACATAAGACAATTTTAGTTCAATCTAATCACCACAATAAAGAGAGAAAAGTAAGAGAGGTTCATAAACAGACCACAAGATTATCAGAAGGCAACCCTGTCATTTCACAGTAAGACAACAGATGTTTCTAAATGCTGCCACTTGATTGATGTTTTTGCTGTGGATGATGGATAATTCAAACATATGGAGAGGATTATTTTGTTTGTGATTGGCTTCATAAATTCTTGCAGGTGCCTACTGAGGTAAACCATGAAAACTGTGCTGCTTATTCTCAAATTACAGGCAATAAAATGTTGCTGATTGGGACTCCCTAAAAACTTGTATGGGTGTCTTCTCGTTGATTAGTCTTTTTAGCTAGCGACAACAAAAAAAGGTTCTGAAATATTGTGAAATAAAATAAAAACTATAGGCCTATTAATATTTGAACATTTAACCTACAGAACACCTTACGCGTAATTGTACCTCACAACATATATCATTTTATCGTTTCAGACTTAACTCTCCTTACTGCTGTACTGGCTGCAACTGAAACTGGACTTCACTGCAGACTTTCAAATGACTTTTACCTGGCTGTTGCTAAATTGACAATCATACAGAGATAATATGTATCACTAAATAGTTCTAAAATGTATTTAGATGGACAAAATTATTTCTGACAACATTCCGAATCCTCAGATAAACTAATCTCATATTTTATGCATGCATTATTCAACTAAGCGTACACTGCTACATCCTGCAAACTTTAGTTTGTTTTGCAAGACAAAGGACGAAGTTGTTAGCCTCTTGTTGAAGAACAAGACGGGAAAGGGCATAGGAGGACAAGAGAAAAAAGGATAAATAGATCACAGTCAAACAGAGAATCATGTCTAGACCTGAATCTGACAAATAAAATAAAACATTGAGTAGATCTTCTCTGTTTTAAAAGGAAACTAAGGATTCTTCATATTCTAATATCACAACAAATCCCTGTTGATGGCTTCTTGATCTTTCAATGAAAACGGGTAGAGAGCATGTTTCTGTGGCAGTACTGTGGCATCTGGGTGTTACTGGTTTTTGTTAGGGCCAGTTATACAGCCACCAAAGGCATCCATTTTACCCGAGGAGGAATGCTATATTAAAACAAACCACTTCATTGCTTGTACCACTGAAGGCCTTTCTGCTGAAAAACTGCACTGTTCACCTCATAAAAACGTCACAGGCTTGATGCACGCTCACACCACTGATGTGTGCTTTCCACAGGGAATAAGCCAATGAATGAGTCATTCATTCTACAACAACATATATGTTTGTTGAGCTCATTTAGGTGTTATTTTTGTGGTTGTCTGATTGGATTGTGTCCAACTTCAGACTTCATGCTGCACAAGCCACATAGAGGAAGAGAAACAAAAAGTACCTGAGTGCATGTATGCAGTAGATGCAGCGTGGCATGTTCTTTCTGTCATATATGTCTGTGGTTTCTGGGTAGAAGATCTGAAACGGAGACAATACGTTTTCAGCAGGTCAACATTAGCATGTCAGCGTGTCGCAGCATGCTTGCAGGAATGATTCAAGGTAGCAGCTCTAATAAGAGGATTTCATAATGTGAATGTGTGATCACACGCCCTGGCAGTGTCTTTGTGGTGCAACTGAAATGGAAGTTTTGAAGGCAGCTACTTATATTTTCTGTTCAAGCTGCCAGCCGGTGATTCTTTGGGCTGATTCTCAATTTTATTTCACAGCAGCATAACAACAAGAATTCAGAGTTTCCACAGAGGAACATTTTTAGAAAGGACATGTACTGTAATAATAATAATAATAATGGATTACATTTTTTTATTAGAGCGCTTTAACAGGTGCTCAAAGCGCTTTACAAATACACATTACACATATTAGACATGTAAGAGTCATGACTGTGGACATTACCCACAGGAGCAAATGCGGGTAAAGTGTCTTGCCCAAGGACACAACGGCCTGACGCAGTGGCGGCCGAGGTGGGATTCGAACTGGAGTTCACCAACGCCCCTTGATCTGATGACCAACGCTCTAACCACTGCGCCAAAATCTCCCCAATAGGCGACTAATCACTATCACAGTTTAATTTGAAGGAGCATTTCAACCTTATAACTATAAAACACAGGCAGCAATCCATTTATATTGGATCAACAGTATGCTGTGGATGGTATTAAGCACAACACAAACTGTATGATCTGCAGTTGAAAACCTAAATCATGCAAAACTGAAAAAAAAAAGTGAGACCTGTAACACATACAGGCTATCATTTGCCTTGTAAAACGAATGAATACATAGAAAGCCCTCAAGGAAAACCATTTTTAAAGACAAACACACATTTCCATTAGATGTTTTACTTCATGGTACTGGAAAATGGCTGCCAGATGTACAAAAAAACAAATATTTATTTAATAAAAGTTTAACACATAATTCCATTGTAGGTACATTTGCATGTGAGAGATAGTATTGGAGAGATGAGTGTTACGCTCACCTTTGGCAGTCCCTTCTCTGACATGGCGTTGAGCCACTGGATGACATTATCTGTGTGTCTGAAATGGAGACCGGTCGCCTGTAGGAGAGAAAACAAATGTCAGAACATAACAAATATGTACAGTCCCAACTCAAAAACTCAGATCCGGCCTTATTCATATTGACAACAAGAGCTAAAAGCGGATAACCCGTTCATCCAACAGCTCCATACACGTTACAACACAAAGCAGGGAAATACATACTGACTCCACAAAGGTTTAGTGTTGAACCATAGACCACAGTCACATCTCAAACCAAAATAACGATTTTTGGCCAACAGAAGTATGACAAGGACTGCGGGTTGGACTGATACTAACCAGGTTTCAATCCAAATGTATCACTTGTTTTTACTAGATGGAAACAATTGCATATCAGTTTGATTTATGTCAAAATGTGAGGAAGGTAACATATAGCTTTCATCGTGGACATTCTTTTCCCAAAATCTGTTTCTATTGCCAATGTCACATTTTGCTTTTCTATCTCAGCCAAGCAATAAATAAATGTAGAGAAGAAGAACTGTTTCAGTGAAATAAGGATGGATTCACTGTTGTTTTTGTTTTAGCGATATATACACATTCAAAATACGTGTTTTTACCTTGTAACGCGTCTGTTCGCGGTCGTAGATCTTCTTGAGGGAGACGGTTTTCGGGGCGAAGAAGTTGCCCAGTTTTGCCAGATAGACGCCATTCCTCAGGCCCTCCTCCAGCTCTGTGGTGGGGGGCAGCTCCTCGTCGAGACACGCCTCCATCCATCTGCAAGTCATCGCATATCACAGTCAACACAAAGGGGAAGAGACATACATACTTAAATAGTCGGGGGGATGATTACTGTGTTTTTTTAAACTTATAACATTTCATTTTTTTAAGAAAGCCCAAAACAATCAAGACAGAGATTGAAAGGGGTTTTATTTCAAGAAGGTTGTCCTAAAAGTACCTATGGTTGATAGTTACCGATGGAAGATGCTTGAAAAAGTTTCACAAAAGTTCAGCGTGCAGTTAGTTCTGGCAATGTTAAAAAAAGTACGGCTGTATGAAATATACTGTTCTGATTGGGTTATTATTTAGTTACATGTGGAGCAACTTAGTAAAGATTATTATATTCATCTAAATGTATTTGTGCTCAGTTTAACTGTACCCTATTTAAGTAGTACTTCCCTTGATCAAGTACACTGATAGCCCAAATTAATCCATGCTTCCTGTTGTTCCAAAGCGAACAAGATGTGGAAAAAAGTAGCTGCGGAACTTGCTAATATCATTGTAACCTTGTTTACTTTGGTGTTACAGCCCCCTGACTTTTCCTCTAGTTTCAAAAATAGGTTAAAGTTGCAACTTGTCCAACACTTCAGTTCATGACTTTAGAAAAACATTAAAAGATAATGCTCAAAATCCTTTTAGCCTTCACCATGTTTTAAAATGAATGCTAGTAGGCTATGCTAAACTTAAACATATTAGCCTCAGCCATGCTTTGGAAATTGCCACTATAATAAATCTTCTGGATTTAAGTCAGAGTGATATCTCTTTTGCAAGGTTATCTCAATTGGTTATTTTACTTTTGAAGAGATTCAATTCAAAATGTAAAACACAGGACTACATAACAACTTATTATCTAAATCATTATTGAAATGTCAAACATAATTTTCATCGCAAGATCCCAGAGAAATGTAGTCTCAAATCGTAGCAGTCTTAATATTAAGGATTCAACCTTGAGACTAAATGGAAGAAAAACAGCACTGCTTCATTTACAACCATTATGGATTAATTATTCATATTAGAGCAGCTTATCTTCATGTTGATGCAGTGACTGATTAATCTGCAATTACAGTAAATAATGAGCCCTAAGGGAGGATCACTCGTTATTGTTTCCCAGATTAAAATGGTGTGGAGTCACTAAGTAAAACCACATTGAAAATATTAGACAAGCACAGAAATAGCTCTCACCGGTTTGGATTGCATACATACAACAACTCCTGCACATTCCCTCCTATGATTTTCATAAAAAACAACCTTCTCTTCACTTTTCTGCACCACTAACACGTGTTGCACCTGACCTGGCCTGTGGTAACCTCTCCTCCTGAGCACATAGTTCCAAGCATTCCTCTTGTGTGACATTTCTTTTCTTTTAGGTCATATTGTGGAGTCACATTCCTGCTGTGTGCCCATGTCAGCTCTGGGCCGCAGAGGAGACGCGCTGCGCTCCCACACTGGGACAGGCCTGGTGGACTAGATTCCTCCAGCTCATGTCATGGCCACCCAGCAACTACAGTGGAAGTCGGTCCAATTTAGTCCCTAAAAATAAATCTGAGATAACCATCTGTTTAGAAGTTGTACTTTTCTTCTTGAGTGGAACCACTTTTATCCAATGTGCTTCAAATATTCAAGATTTTAAAAGATAAGAGGGCATGAACTCGCCTCAGGCGGTATAAGAGCGCCTGAACTTAGAGTAGCTGCATCGTGCGGTATGGAACCAACGTACCATTAGAGGTATAACATTGTTTGAACATTATGGCTTTCACTGTAGTAGCACTGCAAAGCCAGAATTTCCGGGTGTCTTTTCCTTTAAAGATACAATCATCTCAAGGCCAAATACAGTACATTCACTGAACACCACCATTTGGAAAACAGGGCCACAGTTTACCGCAAAAAGAAACGTTTAAGGAAATGTACTTTTTTTTCTTCTTAATTACACTTTATTTACATTGCATCTTAAATTTGATTTGAACAGATCACAGATCGGATATGATTTTTTAATCCAATGAGGATCCGACGTTCTGCCGCTGTCTTCCCCACCTCAAGGCAACACATATCTTCTATCTGGTTAGGAACTGTTTATTTCGGCCTCCAAATATCAGCTCCGATTATGAAGACCTTGAGTTTATTGTCGGCTATGAGGAATTTCACAGAATGAGGGCAAACTGAAGGAAGTCAGATGAAATAGGCAAACAGTCTTTTCATCTGCCGAGCAAACACTCCCACTCTTCTGTAGCTAAGGTCTTTGTCAGGCAACAACAAGGTTAACTACTGTACATCCTGAACGAGATAAAAATATTCCTTTCCTCCTACAGACAGACACCCCTTTACATACACATATTTGTATTACTAGAGCTCACACACTTTTCAATTATTTTCAGGACATTAGGTCCTCGTACAAATATATGAAAATACACACAAGCCAACTACCCTCCAGCTGAAACAACTTCCCTCCCAGGAAGTCAGGACATGGGGTCTCCACACAGGCCCGCTATTGAGGCCGAGGTGACCGACCCGTGGCGCGAGGCCTGGGCATGCCGGCCGGGAACAGCCCCCTCCTTTCACTCCGCACTGGAGCAGTCAAAGGCTCCATAAAGACGGCTAACTAATGGCTCTTTTATCAGGGCTACACACCCTTTCTAGGCTAGCACAAACACAGACACACCCTCCACTTCACCAGCCAGCAATGAATGGGATTTTTTTTATGTCGACATCTGGATCCCAACAACGGCGGAGAAGAGCCCCAAAGATATTTTCATGTTGTGATAATGGCTTTCGGCATGTATACGATCAAGTAATAGAGCCAATTATGAAAGCATCGTCTGGAATTAATCTGAACAAATACCAGATGAGAGATATGAAGGTGCGTGAAGACTAATGCTACGTTCATGGCACGCCATGCAGGTCTGAATAACCAGTAGCCTAGTGAAACAAATTCCAATATCTCACACTAAACAAAAGAACTACGGGCCAACTGGCTTCAAACATCCAAATCAAATCGGAGTTTAAAACAGAACTAGCAAATCAAAAAAAGGAGCTATACATTGCTTCCATTTGTTTTCATTATTTTATAAAACCACTACAAATATCAAAAATGGTACATTGTAATGGTGTGACTACATGGGAACGCAGGATAAATAATGCATACCTACCAACAACAAACCTACCACGCAGTAGCTGGATATTACTCTAACCCTAACCCAGACAGCAAAGATTAAAATGTATTTTAAAATATTTGAATGAACAAAAGTTGGTCCATAGAAGGATAACTGCTCCCAGGATGAGGGTTAGTGAGTATGGATATGATTAGAGAGCCACTTCTTTATTGCAGGCAGAGAATACACGCATACCATGAATCACCACAGACATAATGGTGTTTACATGCTCCAATACCCTATCATTTTTTAATTATTGCACAGTGGTATTCAAACTATTTATGCCCAAGGGAAATTATACTGCAATTTTTCTGGTCATCGTTTAATCTGCAAAGAGTTTAAACGATCCATTAATCTATAACATTGTGTCCATCTTAGTTTATACAATTCCATGGTGACCCTAGTAACAATCTAAATCTAAAATAGCACACCAAAAAAAGGTTATACCAATCGCATTTAAACATCACCGGAAGCCAATGAGAAGAAGCTTAAATTAGTGATGTGATCTTTTCTGGGGAGGGGGAGGGGGTTCAGAGAACAGATGTTTCAAGTATGTGTGAACAATCATTTCCCCATTCATCTAATGACGGCAGCAAGGTGCGAATGAATCATGAAACAGTTATGGTTCGAAATCTGGTCAAAGATGAATAGGGGAATGAGCAAAATTAACACTTGAAATCTTCTTTTGGAAAGGGCCGATTTCAGAAGGCCTTTTGATGGATTATACTGTAAGGAAATATGATCATAATCTGCCATATAACAGCCAATTTGGCCAATGTAGGCTTAACCAACAGGCCACATACTATATGTAGCAGACAAGCTGGAGATTCATAAAACCTCCTATCTTTGATTCAATTATTGTTTTAATAACATCAATGAAGCAGCCCTCAAGTACAGGAAAACCTGGAAACATCACAAATCATTATCTTATCCCTCCAGTGTGCCGACAGGAAGGGGAAGTCCGAGCCGAGTTCAGAGGACAGTCTCATAGGAAGGGCTCTGCTACTGACCACTGTCTCTGCAGGAAGACGTGCAGGCACATCGCCAGCCGCCATGCATCCTCTGCTCTGCACTGTTTCTAAAACCTCCTCCTACAGCATGGATTTACTGGGACAACATTTTTTGGCAGCAGGGGGTCCATTAATAAAGTCTAACCCTTGAAGAAGAGAAATCTTTGGACTTCAGTTAAACACTTCCCCTTTCCAGGTTTCACTGAGTCACAGACACAGAGCTTCCTTTGCAGTTAATCTTTAATAGCAGTAAGCTTACACAAGCAAACCACAAGCCTTGTTATTGTAATGTTAAGAGGTATTGTTCTCATGTCCCTCTCTGGGAGCGGCCTGATCTTTCATCATTGTTTAGAGACGTTGGACCAGGAGTATAAAGAAACAAAGACAACCTGTGTCCAGCATCCAGCCTTCTTTAATGAAAGTAAAAGCTGTGATGTTTGATGTTATCAGATTGAGCTGAGCCCTGATACCAGGTTGATCTCAAGGCATCTAAAAATGTTAACATCAAGCAAGTATAAAATGGTTGAATAGTCAAGTATAACACGGTCATGTTAAAACAGTAGTTAACCTGGGTGTCCAAGAAAACCTGTCAAAGCTATGCTTCCTGAAAAAATGGCATGGATATGGAAAATGTCTAGTCAGCCTCTTTGTCAAATGTTCTTAAATCACATGAAAAGCACACAGTAATCGGTGTTCATGTAACTAGAACTACACACAATCCATTTATACACAGTTCAGTTTATCATCAGAGACATCCCAGGAACTAGATGCAAGATTCACTTAATATTGGGTCTTAGCCAACACATATATCCTACCCACCACTTAAACCTTGAATTA